TGAAGGTTACGTGTAAAAATGTGGTCTCACGGGTCTCACGAAAACAGGCTGGTCTCACGTGAACCCAACTATATATATATATATATATATATATATAAGGATAAATCAAATAAATTGACTTGACACTATGAATGCGTTTGGTGTCCATACAAGAACAAGATATGACAAAATTAGATTAGTTATTTCGCATTTGGTAAGGCATATCTGGACAGAACAAGTAAAATAACCAATTTATCCGAATAGGTTGTTTATATATTTTGATTAACTAAAAAGGTACTCGTATGATGAGTTTGAAGACATGAAACAACGAATTCAATGTAAGAATTTGTCTCGATCTTCGTTTTTAGTGTATGATCGCTAACCTAACATGTTTTTAGAAGTGACTAGTACATACATGAGACACAGATGGAGACCTTAAGGCCATGAAATGGTTGGAATGAAGTTTCAATGTTCATGATATAATCAATTAGTGTATGCTCAAATTAACATGTGTTAGTGTAAATTGTTGGTATCCAAGTACGCCATATACTAATAAAAAACGTTGTTGTTATTCTTGTGCCAAAAGTCTCAAAACAATCAAACTATCAGGCTTTGTACAATCTGCACGACCATGCAATGCTTGCCTTGCATTTAGCACGATCATGTGGAAATGATGCATGGCCAAGTGAGCTTCATGAAGGTTTGTTATGACCACACTAGAGTTTCGTACGATTGTTAGTTTGAGTGTCATCACCCATCAGGGCTATTTAGTCTATTAAAATATAATTACCTAAACTCTAGTCAACTAGTTTAGTTTAATAAATTACCGATTCTATCCATGCATACATGGTTACCAAATACCCACACAGAGCTACACATGGTTACTATATACCCACAAGGAGAGGCTTATTACATTTTTTTTTTTATGTTTGTATGAAGTTATGTAAATGTAATTACAAATAATGTAAAAGTTGTAATTTGTTTGAATTTTAATAGCTATTATATGTGGATAAGCATTTAACAAAAAAAAAAAAAAAACCGATCTTGCAAATTACGATACCAACTGATTTTCCTACATTGTTTTTTCTCACTCTATATTAATTTTCTGGCTCCGTCTTTGGGAGTATTGGGTGCATGGAGATTATTTTAAGGGCTTGTAGGATTAGTCGAGGTGCAGACAAGCTAGTCCAAACACATATTTTGCAACAAAAAAAAAGTATTGCTTAAGAGGCATGATTATGCAAGAAAATGATTTAAGTCATGAAGTGAGTTTTATGTATAATACTACACATTTATGTCACTTGTAATGGTTGCCCATTGATGATGCATGTATTGTAACGTAGGGAGGTGTTAACTTGAGACCATACACCATAATTACACTATAAGATGATAATTACACTATAAGATGAGTTTAGTAGTTTACATGTGCATTTTGTTGGAATTGAATTGTTAATTACTGCGATTATTTGCAACTTATTACATGTTATTGGCTCATTGATTTAATTCATCAATAATACTAACATATCAGCTTGTTAATAGTTATGAGTGAGGTAGTATGAATTGGTGTGTTTGCCATGGACATATTTGTTTTAGGATAGTATGGCCATAAAGTGAGGATTAACATAGTCCAAATTTATAACGAGTTGACGTGTATCACACATTAAACAACGATAATTAAATGTGAGTAACGTAATTCATTGTAAGTTGATACATGAGTGCATGATCAATTGGAATGCATGCGAGTTATTATTAGTGTGCATACAAGGACGAACCCAATTATTTTTCTTTAAACGGTAGCACCATTTGACTATAAGAAATAAATGTACATATATTTTTTTTCAAACGATAACACCATTTCACCAAGAAAATGACACTAACAAGATTCAAATTTGGATATGAGGTGGAATAAAAGCCTTGCAAACCAACTCTACCAAATAAAACTCGTTCTCATTGTAGTTTCAAAATACATACGGTAACACACAACAAATTAATACGGTTGCATCTTCACGAAGCTAATTTTTTTTATCTTTCGATGGATGAATAATACGGTGGCACGCTCTATTGTAGGTCCGTCATTGTGTGGATAATATTATGATGTTTAATTATTTATCAAATTATAGACTAAACAAGTTCTTAAAATGACTAGTGTCATAAATCTTAAGAACAAACAAGTTTGGAATTGAGAGGGACAATGGACATATCTAGCCTGAGGGGTTATTTGTTTACTTCTTAATAGTTTCATTAAGAGGTGAATCTTGTTTGACAAAAAAAAGTCTGTCTCTTAATGGTTCTAAAATTCTCTGAATGATTTTGTATCCTGAGCCTCCCTTAACCATTCAATGCCCTAATTTCGTTATAAATAATTAACAAATAATTATATGTCATCTTGCACTATATCATGAGAGCCTCTTAATCATTATGATCACTTAATCATTCTACACTAAACCATTCATCAATTGCCAAACAGTCTTTAAGTATAAATAATATTAGTTCATGCATTGTACCAATTGTGTAATTTGGGTTCAACAGTAGTGGCACATGTTATAACAATTCGTCGTACATGAATGAAAAATGAGATATGTATTATCTTTATTTATAAGTTTCAAACGGTAAACTACCAATAATTTTCAGCATAATTTTAAGTTAGATTTTGAAGTCATTGGGCCAATTACTTTGGGCTTAGGATGGGACATGGATAGCTGATCGAATTTGGAATATTTGGTGCGAGGAAAAAGCTGATGTCCTTTTTTATTAGAAAAAAGAGAGGCAAGGGATGACATTTATAAAAGGCACGTGAGAGAGAGGTGGTGGTGGTAGCATGAGCTGGAGGTGCGTAGGGTCTTAACCTACGCATACACTTTCAGGAAAAAAAAACCGAGTTTAGGAAGAGAGAGAGAGAGAGAGAGAGAGAGGGGAGCAAGGCAAAGCAAAGAGATGAGGGAGAGACGGAAGGGAAGAGAGGAATACGGGTGGGGTTCGGATCCTGGATTCGGGTCAAACCCAAGAAACAAAATCACTCACAGGGTCTCGGTTGTGTGTGATAAGAAATCAAAAAAATGGAGAAGATTACGAGTGGTCTTCCCCCCCCTCTCTTTACCACTATACTCACCATACATTACCCCCAAAATACTCAAACCCTAATAACCCTTTCTCTCTTTCTCTCTCTCTCTCTCTACATCCACAAACGATCCGTTTCCCTGTATCGTTTTCTGCCATTATCTCTCCCTCCCTCCCTCTCTCCTCTATCTTACACTTCCCCTTTATCGTCTCACAAGGGTTTCGACTTTTTCTTTCTTACGGCGATCGCTTCTATCTCAATTTTGGTCCTTTTCACTAGGTAATTTTTTTCTGTCTTCTTTGATTTCAGCGTCTGTTTGGTGTTCGTGGTGGTTGTTTTGATCGGCTTAATGTGTATACCCATAAGTTCAATTTTGGGAATTTTGTTGTTTTTGTAATGTATCATGTATGCGCTTCTGGAATTTATCTGCATCAACTGTCGTTTACTGCTTTTCTTTTTTCCTGATTTGCTTTTTCGCGGGAGTTGTCTATTTGATTTTACTACATGGAACTGATTAGTTGATTCTTTTAACCACTGTGGTATTTCACTTACTGTGGATCCTTTTCCCTTATGTATGCACTACAAGGCTCCCTCTGTTCCTTAAAAAGAACTGCACATTGGCAAACGGGGTATGGTTAAACTTCAAAATTGATATATCATACGGATTTCCAACTTCTTAGGAACGATTTTTAACTGCATTAAACTCTACAGCAGGTGCCACTAAGAGCTTAAGGTTGATATTAAATTTGCAAATCAAAATTTCATTTCCAAAGTACTAGGATTGCGCCTTGAAAAACTAGTGTAGTTGCTTTTTTTTTCTTTTTTTTTTTTCGTACCATTTTTTTCTGTGGGAGCAATGGCTACTTGTTTATTGGGTTTTCTGTTCTTGTATTATGGGTTATAAGTTTTTCATGTGACTAACCTTTTCTCTTACAATTTTCGTTATCACAGCAATAATGTGATCATAAGATCTGCTTAGTTGGTAAGAGCTGGTTATGTTGACCAGTGATGTGTAGTTTTGTTACGGTGTGCTCTGGTTGCCTTTTGTAACGGTTTATCAGCTTATTGTAGCCTTAGTAGTACCATGCAAATTTGAAATTATGTTCAGCTACTTAATGATCTAGAGGTTGTGATTCTGATTGCATTTTGGTTACTTATTTATGTTATGTAAAGCTGAACTCTAAAAGTCAGTAGACAAGTTTTACTTTGTATAGCTGTTTTTTTGATAAATACAACAATCTTAAATTCCTGATTCTTTCGTGGTAGATGAGTATCGTATTTATGGTATTTTACCGCTGAATGATTATTCTACCAGTTATCTTGTACTACAAGTGTAAGTAATCGGTAACTCTGGACAACCACCTTTATTCTTATTCATTTCAACCGTAATATGCTAACTCAGCACAAAGCTTGAGGAAAGTGATGATAATTAGCAAGGAGAAAAAATACATTTAACTCTAAAACTAACAATTAAATGTTTTAATATCTAATAATATTCTATGGATTGTAATTGTAGAAACACAGACTTCAAATTGTGTCATGAAGTTTGATGTAAGTCATTATGCAAGACACAGCTTAATTCACAAGGAATTTTACATCTGCCCATCTTTCAAACTACATAAAGGAACCCGTCTCACCAAGTCCAGTATTCTTATGAGCATTCTATGCTAACCATCCTTCACTTCAGTTTCATGATCTTGCTCATCACTTTCCTGATTGTATGTATTTCAAAATTTGGTGCTTACGAAGAAAACTAGTATTAGGTTTAGTTAACAAGGATTTCTTGGACTATGGTGCTTACCATTCAGTATTTCTGCAGGACTGTTTCTCGTTTTAACTTGCTGCATTACTGGGCTTCCATGTGGTTACTCTCTGTCGCTATCTGATTGTTGGCTAAAAGGGGACCACCCCCAACATAATGGATGAGTTTGGTGGTCCTCGATTTGAAGGGGTCGGGAATACTATTAGAAGGAAGAGGACCCAAACATCTAGACGACCTAAACCTGAGGTGCAGGCATTACCTGTAAATCATGATCAGGCATCTCTCTCATCAACACCGCCTTCAGATGACACTAGCAAGATATCAAGTGATGAGAATGCTGTTGATGCTAATCCTAGGAGAAAAGTATTCAACCTTAATCAATGTGCTTCAGTGGGTTCATCAGCTACCAGAACAGAAGGTGAATACTCGCATAAGAGAGTTCAAACAGAGGACGGAAGATATAACAGTTCCTTGCATAGCAATGGAGGTTTGACGGATGCAAATGAAGAGGCCCAAAGTGGCCTTATCCAGAAGCAACATGCTAACTCAAGAGCATCAGATGATATAGGTGGAAATGAAAACAAAGTAAAAAAGGTCAAGCTTAAGGTAGGTGGCATAACAAGGACAATTCAACCCAAGTCCAGTTTAGCAACCATTGGTTCTTCAAAGAATGCAGGATGTTCAGATGTCCCTCGCCCTCGGCCAAAATTGATTCTCCAGGTATGTTATAATTACTCCTTGCCCATTGGTCGCTTTTATAATCTATGCAAACTGATGTTTTCGTATGCATGATTATGCTTACAACTGATGGTTTGTAAAATTTTCCTTACATTTGGTTGTTTGTCTGCTTTTTCGTGGTACCGTTATAGGTCCTCTCTTTACCTTTATATTGTGTGAGGATGGCATTTTTTAAGCATCTAAGTGTTCGTTTCACCTGAAATATTTCTAGGTAATCATGATTGTGTGATTCTTAGTGCAGTTGTGCTTTTGTTTACCAACTATCTCCAGATAATGAAGTAATTAAGAATTCTCAGATGTACTAGTACTAGCAGAGTAGCAGCGCATCAAAGATGCCTCTACTTTGATTAGAGTATTCTAGGTATCACAGGAAATTATACTAAAGCATATATGTTTTCTGGTGGAAAAAGATTTAATTATACGTATATCTGGAAATTTGTTTGCATATTTTTCTGAATTGCACCAATGAAATTGATATTGATATGATATAGCAGGATCTGTTATTACACTTGGAATTAGCTTGCCCTAGGGAATTCCATATGGAAAAAATATATTCTCTTCCAAAATGCACTTATTGTCATTTAATGCTCTCTACTTTTTATTTAACTCCTGGATTTAATTTAATATAATTAACACCTACTTCAAAATTTAGGACAATTCCGATGAAGACGATTCGTCTCCTCTAGGTAAAAAGATTGGGTTGCAAGGGATCCCGTGGAAGGATTTCTCGAGGGGTGGTTTTAGTCTTGGGAGAGAAAACTCTTTAATGGGGAAGACTACAGAAAGGAATTCTGGAGGAAAGCAAGGGGAGAAGTCGGAGCGAGTCCGAAAGAGCAAGAGGGTACCAAAGAAGCGCTTATTAGATGGGGATTTCGATGAAGAAGAGGATGATGAGATACGATACCTGGAGAAGCTGAAAACCGTTAAGGTTGCTGCGGCATGTAGAGATTTTGATGACGACTCGAGTAAGAAACACCGGAGTCTTTCTAGGGTTTCTAAAGGCGGCAAGTCTGAAAATTCAGAAGATCCGATCCCTTTAAGATTGGGTAGGGATATTAAGAAGTCTAAATCAGATAGTGTATCTGTTGACACAGATTTGGAGGAGGAAGATCTGGTCTCTGATAACGAAAATGAAGGAAACAAGGCAAAGAAATTAAGAAAGGATTCTCCTGATTCACCAACTGAAACCAAGAGGGAAACAAGTCTCACTTCACGTCAAAGGGCTCTTCTTTCTGGCAGGGATTCTGCATCTGCTGCCAGTCAAATTGAGTTTCCAAATGGGTTGCCACCAGCTCCCCCTCGAAGTGAGTTTTTACAAATTTTGTTCAGCAAATATGAATGCACAAACTAATACACGGACCCTCTATATTACCATGTGAAATGTTTTCAGATTCATGATTTGCTTCTGGATTTTGCCTTAAATACAGAGCAAAAAGAGAAACTTACCGAAGTGGAGCAGCAGCTCAAAAAAGCTGAGGCTGCTGAGCGCCGCAGGATTCAGAATGAGAAAGCAGCTCGGGAATCAGAGGTTTGAGCAAATCTTTTTATATTTCTCGTTGGTGGTTTGCTGATTGCATTATTTCCTTTTTCTTTTCTCCCTGCATTTCTCACTCTGTAATCTGGGAATTTTTTTTAGGCTGAAGCAATCAGGAAGATACTTGGTCAAGATTCAAGTAGGAAGAAACGTGAAGATAAATTGAAGAAGCGCCAGGAAGAGTTGGCACAGGTATGGGGTTATACTTGCTATTGTTTGGTGATAGTCATGTGAAAACGAACTAATAGTTTAAACTGTGTCTGCCATCATATCCTTAGGAAAAGGCTGCCAACGCAAAGATGCTTGGACCCAGCACTATTCGAACAGTTATTAGCCCAACTGGAACTGTTGTTGCATTTGCTGATGATATCGGTCTGCCTCATATTTTTGACCCCAAACCTAGCTGGTAGGTATAGGTTGAGATGAGATTCCATGAATTTGTGTTGTTTTGTTTAAACTTAGTTTGCTGTGCTGATTATATGGAGTATGTAATGCAGTTATCCCCCACCAAGGGAAAAATGTGCTGGGCCGTCTTGTAACAATGCATACAAGTATCGAGATTCCAAATCCAAGCTTCCTCTTTGCAGCCTCCAATGCTATAAGGCTATTCATGAATGGATGCAGGCTGACAATGGGTGCTAGTAATGTTGCGTTTTATATGATGAAGAAGGTACATTGAATTGTTAGCAGATAGGTGAGTGACAGACAGACAGACCACAGTTAGTTTTGTGTTAGCAAACTGAGATGATGAAATTAATGGAATTTGGGCGCTTTGATTTTTATATATCAAGTGAAAGCTTCTTACCATGCATGGTGTCTGGTGTTTGGAGTTTATTGAAGTTTGTGGTTTTCTTAACAGTGAATTTCCTTTTTGCATGTCGGTGGCATGCTTCTCTTCTTTGGAAGATGTATACACATTTGATTCGATAGAGAGATTATTGGATACTTGGGTATTAAATCCAGTTTTGTTGATTGTTTGGATTGATTCAATATTCAACCTGGTGCTCATGTGTTTGGTGTTATTCATTCATCTCCATCTGAACCAAAACTAGGTGGAGATGGAGATGGAGATGGAGATGGAGATGGAGATGGAGATGGAGATGGAGATGGAGATGGAGATGGAGATGATGATGAGATTCTAACGTACAAATGTTAATGCACAATCTACGGAATTGTTTTCTGTAATAAAATGCACATCAAACAATGTATGAATTATGAAACAAAAAACAAAACAAACATCATTCTCAAATCTTATACACATCTTGCTTGCTTTGGAATTGGAAGTATACTACTACTACTACTACATGTTTGTTAAAAATATAAAATTATATTTACATCGATAAGACTTACGAAAACACAAATGATCGAGAACGAATACGATAGTTTACTTACAGTCATGTAAAATCCTAATGTTATTTTTTATTTTATTTTTCCTTTAACGAAGAATAAGATGGTGGTAAAAAATGATTATGGGAGAATTATGTAACTTTTGAATCTAAAAGAAAGAAAAAACGAATGAAGCCCAGCCCAAATTCTTAGTTCAAACTTGGGCCTCCATGAGATGCGTGCTGTTGCGTTGAATGATGAAATCATAGTTTGGTAACTTGGTATATGGAATTGGAAAGCATCTGTCTGTTTTCTGTTAGAAACTACATCGGAATCGCAATTCGCAAACCCTTGCCGTCGAACAACATTCGATTCGCTTCGCTTCAGGTATGCTCTTCCTCGCTCTCCTCTCTCTCTCATCTTTCAATTGCCTGCAACCAAATCTTTTATAGCTGTTTCATTTCTTCTCATCATCAATACCTTCGACTTACATCAACAAAAGATCGTCTTCTTTCTTGCTCTTATCTCATAAATCGTAAAATTTTGTTTCTTCATGCATCTTTATTGCTTCGCTACTCCAACTGAAACTTATTTAAATCAACCCAACTTCTGACCACTGTTTTGATTGCTAAAGATCCCCTACAAAATTTTGAGATCTATTCTCATGAATCATTGAGTTATAAGAATCTTGGGATCTTCTCGCTATGTTGGTTATCGTCTCTACACACACACACGCGCGCGCACATATATGTGCTGGGGGTGTTTTTTTAACTTGTGCTTTTAGTCTTCTTGGACCTTAGTTTATGCTTATTTGTTTTTCTTTTTGTGCAGTGTGCATTGCCATTCTGTAATACACTGCCTGAGGTTGAACCTTATTTGGCTTCATGGCGAGGATTAAACCTCAAGCTCTGTTACAGCAAAGCAAAAAGAAGAAAGCACCCAGAAGCATCAGTATTCCCACAATTGCATTGTATAGTGTAGTTACTGTGGTTATGGTGTTTTTCCTGTTTGCCACGTACAGACACTGGTCTCAAAGGTTTGTTGATAAAAAATGTTTTCTTTGCTTTCTTCTCCTGTAGTCCTGTACCTAGATTCATTCCGCTTTCAAATGGTCATGAGGAAAGTCAACAAAGTTCTTGCTCTGTTTTGGCACCTTTGTCCCCATGGATGGCAAAGCACCCCCTCCACATGGCCTAGGAAAACTTTGGCTCTTCCGGGCAACGGGTGTGGCCCTTAAGGAGTTGATACAACTAGAGGGTTTCAATACCGGTGATGCACAAGCCCCAAGTGGCCAACCCCTTGGCGATTTCAGAGGTGTTATTGTGTATTGTTAACAATTGGTTACTCCCTTAGATGGTGGTCTGGGCTACCAGCATACGTGTTCTTGGCCCCTATGTTAGCTGAAAGCAGGATTATATTTCTTTTCAGCTCTCTAAATTATTATCCCCATGATGAATAAATCCAAGTTATACAAATCATGCTTTATTGTATGAGTTATATTCTGAACTTTTGTTCATATGACTTGCATATAAACATTGCAAGAATCTGGGGTCTTGGTCATACATATACAATAAGCACAAAACTTACCTAACTGGTGATGTGTGTGTTACTTTTAGGTCAATAATGCAGACAGAAGAAGGATCAACTTTTCAGGTACAAATGTTTACCATTCTTTGCTTTCTTTCGCTTAGTGGCTTTTATTCCTTGTTCTGTGAAATTTTATTAAATTGGTATTCTTCCCCTTTTGCCTACCTTCATTCGCTGAATGCCTTCATTTTCTTAAATTTTGTGGTCCATGTAATAACAAGTAAGCTTTTAACCCTGGACATCTTGCCATGCCAAAGCAACTTCAAAACATGTAGTATACCAAAAGGGTTCGCTTTATACATGAGTGCACGGAATGGCCTCGTTCTTGTCCTGAGAACCCTAGTTGGGTTCACCTCCATATATATTTTCTATTCCTCATAATTTCTTTTGGATTCATTTCTATCCCAACTGTTTTGGGAATTAAATACTTCTGGTTATTACTTCCATTGTTTATTTGGAGAAGTGATGATATAGAGAAAGTAGGACAGGTGATTATATCGTAATGAGTAAAGCAAGATACTTATACTATGATCGGCATGATGGAATCAAGTCATCAACAATGGAATGAAGAACTGCTGTTTGGTTACACATTTGTTATGGGGTGCATTTTTCATGAATACCATTTCATCCAATCCGTTGTCTTTTTGTTCCTTAGGAGGTTTTCTTCTTTACTTTCCACAAAGCAATGTGATGATATTTGTTCTACAGTTATATTTCAAAATTTGTTTCTTTAATCTGTTACAGGTTGAAGATGAATTTTCAGATACAAAGAAATCTGACGTTCCTAGATATGCCGTAAGTTTCAGTACCTCAGTTTTGTGCGTTCGCTTGTCATATGCTTTTCTTCTGCACCATAGATACCATTTTTATACTTTGTCAAAGAAGTATGATGATCACCCTTTGATGATGTAGTGTGAATATGTGCATGTTACACTTCAACATTGGCATGTAGTTTCTTAGTTGCATGTGACACAAGGAGGAAAAAACTGTAGTTTGTTTGGGGTTGTCCCTTTTATTTGAAAAATAAAATTCAATGAGGATTTGGTGCAAGCTGCAGTGCATAAAAAGATCCACTATCAGAGTCATTTTCTCTCATCTTTATACCATTTTTCATTTAAAATGATGCATTACCATCCATTTGACCCTCTTTCAGTTCAATTGTTGTTGTCTTTTTGAAACTTTAGCATCTTCTTGTCTTTCTTTCTGTGCTTTGACATACTTCTGTGCCCAGATTTTCAACACCTCTAAAGGTCTGATCACGGTGGAACTTTACAAGGAAGGTTCGCCTGAAGTTGTTGATGAATTTATTGATGCCTGGTGAGTATCGGCATTATCTTATAATGCCATGCCATCTAATAAAATTATATTAGGCAATTGCGATTTTTGTTCTCTGTATTCATTTGAATAGCTTGGATCTTGTTAACATTTCCCATACTCTAGTCTTGCATCTTTAAATTCTGAAGCCTCAATAGTTAAAATTGCCAAAGTTGTCAAGATGTTCCGTTTTTGTTTGTTGGATTGATATATAATCGACAATGACACTTGGTTGACATCTTCCAGTGGAGTAGTTTTGTTCTGACTAGTAAATCTCTGCTGCTCATTAATCTGTTAAAATGTCTTTGCAGTCAGAAGGCACACTTTAAAGGGATGCTATTTCAACGTGTGGTGAAACATTTTGTAATCCAAGGAGGCAACTCTGAAAATCACGCAGTTATAGAGGACTGGACTTCTAGAGAGAAGCACTACAATCAGCTTGAGAAAAGGTTTGTCCAACTCCACACCAACCATTGTTATCGACATGCTCCCCATAAGATTAATGTTGAGACAAAATTTACTCATCATCATCTTTTCTAAATTTATCCAGACTAAAGCATGAAGCCTTTATGCTTGGTACGTCCAATATGAAACATGACAAAGAAGGATTTGATATTTTCATTACAACGGCACCAATACCAGATCTAAATGCGAAACTTAATGTGTTTGGACGCGTTATTAGAGGAGAAGATATTGTTCAGGTAAATATACCATTGGACTGAAAACCTTTGTGTAGGTGAGGTTAAAATATCCCCCCATGATTTGATCATATTGTTTAGCAGTAGCTATGATGCAATCCTGGAGACATATTAACTGGAGCTACCTTTTTGGCAGGAAATTGAGGAGGTGGATACAGATGAACATTACAGACCTAAATCTCGAATTGGGATCATTGATGTGACACTGAAACAGAAGATATAAGGTTGAATTAATTTTTTTGGAGGATGGTGGCATCATATATTGTTTTGTGTATGTGTTTGTTAATGTTCTGCTGCTGCTACGTAGAAGATGTGAAAGAAGACTTGGTGGGTTGTTCTTAATTAGAGTTTTAGGTCATACAATAACCTTATTAATGTTTACTTTTGTCATGAAATTCATCAATCAGGTTTTGATGCTCCCGTTTTCTACCTCTAATTAAGATCAAATATGTGCTAGTTCCATGCATGCTATTATCAGAAGATTTCTTCATGCTTGCTATGGTTTGGTGTATGATTATTTGGTTGGGTGGTAAGTTGGTGAATCTCAATCATGAATCACCCATTTTCTTCCTTTATTAATATGATCAATTAAAACCACAATGCTAGGTGGTGTTGAGGTAGGTAGGGAGATGAAATGTTAAATTCTTGTTCCATCTCCTCACCTCACCTCACCTCCTCACCTGCTACTACTGTTGACTACATAACACAAACTCCTGAGCCTTTTAAGCTAAAATGTAGTCTACCTAGCATCCAACTTCCATACCAATTATTTATTTACTTGTATGCTAATTTACAGGTTTCCTATATTATTATAGTTGGTTAATCCAATGCGGTAACAAAGTTGCTGTTCTTCGTAAATTACCCTCTTAAGATTAATTTGTCGTGAAAAAATCAGGCAGCAATTGTGCAACATACATACGTAACAAATTTAATCGAGGTCTTCTGCTGGTGGTTATATGTATTATCTACATTTTGTGCAAAAGCATGATGCCAAGACAGATTAGACAATCATCATGCCAAATAATCTTTTACTTCTCACATTTGATAATTTCTTTTAACAATTATATGTGATATTTCATTATATTTTATACAAATAAAGGATATTTAAAAAGCTATAAAAACATAAATGCAATTGTCTAAGCACAGCTTGATATAAATATAATTTCCCAGTACCATATATACATATGCAATCTATTTCCCAATCCAATCTAATCCAACCCAACGAAACAGAACATTTCTTCCAATCCAAATAAGCTTGCCAATATGAACCTCAAACCACACAAACCAACCTGAAAAACATATCACAAATTCTTCAGACCAATATTCGATTAATTACTACTTGATGCTCATTTGGAATCATACAATTCTTATATTCCAAGGTACTCTCCTCGATGCCACACCATCAAAATTGCAGAGACTTCTTCTAACACCATATAAAATAGAATTCTCCACTTCCAAACTCACAATCTGTATGTCAGTGCTCAACTCCATGAGTGTATCTTTTTAATCAAACAATCAGGCATGACGCCATGGCTGCTGATTGCACTTCTCAACTTGTTGCTCATGGAAGCCGTATCCCTCCGGTTTCTCCCACTGACAGCCACAGTTCAATAGTACTACATTATATAGGAGGCTGAAATACAACAGATTAAGCACACCAAAAAAATCTTACCCGGCTTTCACATGTTACACAATTATAGTAGTATGCATTGCCATCAGGACATACATGCTCACTCCAATCACAATCAGGTGGATTTGACATCTCACTACTTGTAGCCACAGAACAAGTGCTGGAAACTGATGGAGGCTCACTTCCGGTTTGTGAAGACTACATGGACAATGTGTTCCTTATAGCTTAAGATTCTATTTATCACTGAACAAATATCTTTTACCAGAAAAGAAAGGTGAGAGAATTTTGCAATATACAAGACCATAATTCAAACAAAAAGGCTAGTCTTTACCATGCTAAAATGCCTACCCTATAGGTATGGGTGCTTTACTAAGTAGAACCAAATCAAACGAAGAGGTAGGGTCTCAGGGGTAAGATGTACTCAGACCTTGCCTCTATCTCCAAGGGTAGAGAGGCAGAGACCTTTCAAAATCTAACTTCTGTATCACTAGATGACATAGCAGCACGAATTAGCATAAGTGTCAGGGTCAAATTGTCGACGTGTAAAATTGAGGACTAACCATGTGTGAACTATTAGGTAGTGAGGTTTGACCAACTGGATCACTGACATACGGTGCAGACCTGCAGCAAGATTTTTTTTCCGGAAGACATGTGTCAGCTCCTCATGGGCGCAAAAAAAGAAGAAATAGATCATTGAACACCAGATACCAAGTTGAAAAGAGAGCACATCTCTCATAAAGGATAGGCTATATGCACTATCCAATTTATCATCATGTGAGAACAAAAAGTGACAGTGATGAGATAGTGTTTTTGTGAGAGGGCACAAATTTTAAGGGAATAAAAAGATAGTGCATATAGCAGAACCCATATTATGTGCCCAGCTAGAAAAGAATAAATAAGTAGAGCAAGCACTTGCAATAAATTAATTAGATTGGTAATGTCTACCAGTAGGAGTTAATATTTACAATATTGTCTCAAAAACTGTCTCCAAACATATGATAAGAGAGACAAGCATACTAGTTGCTCCCTGGCATTAAGTAAATTAGGGTTGAATAAAAAACACAAGTTGAACTAAAAGTGATACATAAGACAAATAATGAAAATAACTGTTACAAATGAATTGGTATAACTTAGATCAAAAAATGTGCAGAAAGATTCTTCATTATTAAAAAACTCAGTTTTGTTTGAGAATGTAACACTTCATATCAGTGTTTGCAGATGAACATTAACCAACATTCATTTTAGTTAAAGAACATTATCTTAAAAAATAACATTTAATACTGGTTAACTAAAAAAGTTATGTAGAGAAAAGCTGTAGGGACCTGTATTCCCCAGTTTTTGGCTTCTTTGGATCTGCAAAACGGACAACCAACGGTTGATCACAACCCTAGAGACAATAAAAAAAAAAGATTGTAAAAAAGATGAATATCACTGGAAGATAATTTAGAGAGATAGCATCTAGTGAGTCATTATGTAGGTCATACTTTCATCACATATTTGCCGTTCAGAGCAATAATTGCAGCAGCTGCCATATCTTTATGAGAAAACGAGATGAATCCAATACCTTAGAAGTATACACGTACAGTTAGAACGTATAATATAAAAATAATCATAATGTTCGGAAAGAATTGACATATGACTATACAAAAGCCCAATAAGATAGAAGTAGAGTCCACACTTCCATCTATGCTTTATAAGTGATTAGAAAAGTATACAAGCATCTAACCTGGCATGGCAGTAAAAAAACTAGCTATGCTAGCGTTCTAAAACAGTAGTAGTTGAAAGTTAATGGGTTACCACAAGCATATGTGATACATACCATAGCTGGCAAATGAGATGTTGTCCTTTACATGTTCATCAGGTGTATCCAAAAGCACCTTAGAAATATACAAAATTAAGGTTTGATGTAAATGACTAACCACGGTTCTGCTTGTATTCATCACGCAGCAGGAATACATCTTCAACACAGCCATAAGGGGAAAATATCTGAAAATGAAAAAAAATTACAAAAAACCAAAATTAGATAAAGATTTGGTTTGCATTCTGGGAAAAAGTAGCTGGTATCAGTATGATACACTGTTACCCTGGTATCAACAGAAAGATTTATTCTTCAATGACATGTAGCACATGTATCAGGCCCATCATATAAAACAAAAAGTTCAGAATAGTATCACTATGTAGCAATAAACTCCCAGAATAGTATCAGTGTGCATCCATATAAGTTGGTAAATATTCTAGACTGGAGCATACCTCTGTAATTTCCGCTTTTGATGCCTGCTTGTTCAAGAAACCAACAAACACTTTGCACTCATGCGTCCTCAAACACCCTATCACACTCCTTGAGCACCCTATCATACAACGACAAAGATAGAGATGATGAGAATCGAAATGTCATAGGAAAAAAAGAAAAACTCCTGATGGCAAGGGACTGGTAACACAACATTTCAGCAGCAACAAACATTTTCTCGACATATTTAGGACATAAGAGAGAACATGAATTGATAAACAGAAGAGAATAGTTGATGATTGAGGTGGTCCTGTCACATATTTGACTCTTCCTAAAACCTCTTAGCTTTCTTAAGTGATGCAGGAAAAGATATTTGAATGTTTTAGAAGCTTACATGATTTACATCTATAGGTTCCACTAAAACTCAAGACAAAAGGCAACTGGACAAACATCAACAAGCATCTCAAAATGCAACAGGACTAATGTGTATTATGTCAAAGATAGTGTGTCTACAGCATAAAATTCTAGCAAATAAGGTCCACAGATAGGTTGACATATTGGTCAATTCAGATCTTTGCAAGTATTTCATATTTTTTAGAAAAAAAATGCAATAAGACGGAGTTACCTGGGCGTTCTTGTTTCTTAGAGGCATATTTAACTTCAATGGGACGCATTCCCTGGAATAACAGGAACATCAAGCATAGATCAGGATTTTACAGCTACAATCAAACAAAAGTCGAACTTACCCCAGGAAAAGTATGATGATTATGTAATGCTCTTATAGCTTGGGTAGCTTCCTCTATCTTTGCATATTTAACAAAACAGCATTCTGGAGATAGGGATTGTTGATGTCAATTCAATCAGTTATATCACCACATTATGATTTACTGTACACTATTTATACATGAAATCAATAAGAAAAAAACTAATTTACCCCTTTTAGTTTGTCTATCGCAACTAACTACTCTTTGTTCCACAAGTGTCCCATAAGACTGAAGGGTCTTTGGCCTAGCGGTATCCAGTAACTTCCTAGAGGTCAGGGGTTCCAATCTCACCAAAGGTGGGGAGTGCGTGAGTTCCATTTCCCGTATATAAATATGATATACTTAGTGTCAACCATAAGATGACCATAGATTAAGAAATTTCATTTTCTATATGGTTTCTCAAAGCATCCGAAATATACAAAAAAGGTGGGCCCTTAAAGCACTGTAACTCGTCGATTTTACGGGTTGGCTTCATAATTTGTGGGTAAGAACATTGCTATGGTTATCTAAGAGAGGGGAACTTATTGTGCAAACCATAGAATTATGAAGCATATTAATTGTAGCGACAAGCCCACTTTACCTTGCTCGTGGAGACTTTTTAATTCCTTGAAAAGAACAACCTCTATGATGTTTCCATGCTTACCGAATATGGAGCGGATCTGACAAGATAAAAGAAAAATATAACTATGATTACATGGTGAGGATGCTGACATGAAAGAAGCTAACAATAATGATGAAACCAATGTCGATGAAGATGATATCGTACAGAAAAAAATGATTTTTACAATCATAGATGTGAAGTAGTTGCATCTAAATTCATAAGCAAATATATCATTTACTAAACAGGCCATCAAAAGTCATTTGATAATTTGAGCACTTTAACCTAAACAGAGGCCTATTAAGAAACTAATAGGCATGCTTGGAAGCCAACCCAAGGGATGCCGGAGAGCTTTGCATCTGATCTTGTTGCTAGCACGGAGAGGGTTGCATCAGCCATTTACGTGCTCAATAACACTAATATGTTACATCTTAGTCCATCGTAACCACATTCACTGATCAAAATCAGAGTCTTTCTTTGAAACCGTACACAGCAGCAGTACGAGTGTTCTGCGTCAGTTTAGTAAATTGCTTGAACCCCCCCCCCCCAAAAAAAAAAAAAAACCCTCTGATTTCGGCTGGCAATTGGTGATACGTACCAATGTACCATGACAAACAGTCTCGCCATCTGCTTAGTCTTGGTTAAACCTCTATGATATTCTCTATGGTCTGAGCATGCCATTCTCCTCATGTGAACAGCCTCTATGATATGTTTGTCCTAATAAATGACGCATTTCATTAAGCAAACACAGCATCATGAGAATTAGTGTAATTGAGATGCAACTAGTGACTCCTAAAAGTAATGGATGCTCCAATGTAAGTCACCAAGATGTCATCAAACTTTTTCTGTACTGCAACAAAGTTCACCTGCAGGCATTCCTGATTGCATAAAGGGAAGGTATAGGATAGATATCACTATGAAATTATATTTAACCTGAAAAAAGTACGTAAACTGGAAATTTAAAAATTTAGACAAGCCAGCTTGATTGCAAGATTTACTTTGGGTGGTAGTCTAAGAATCATATCAGGATAGCCCTATGCAATAATCAACAAACTGGGAGACCAGAACCTGATGTTAGCTGTAAAGAACTTACATCCTGTTCAGTGACTTCTCTTGGGACCCCTCTAACATAAAGCTTGGCACAACTGCCACCATCGTTGTATTCTGAAACAAAAAGGAAAAGGAAAAGAAAAAGAAAATCTCAGCAAGCCTTCTAAATAGAACAGTGCATTTTAAGAAAGCTCCAGATGCTTCCTCTATGTTGATGGAGAAACCAACTTTGAGACGACAAATTGGAATTAAAAAAATCCACGGCTTTATGTATTCCCTCCCATCCGATAAAACAGCTACAACTTGAGCTTTTATGATAGAACCAAGCGCGACGAAAGAGTAAAAAACAACGCTGTTCGATTTCTGGTTCTAGTGTTTGTCAAAATAAAGTCTAAAACTTGATAGTAATCAATGAAAGCAGTTGATGCTGTAAGAGAGAAAATATGGTGACAAACCAGGAGGGCCATGAGCAGATTGAGAGAATTGTCTCTTTCGTCCAACGAATGCAGTTCCAAATGAGTCGGTTGGTTCAGTAGCAACATCTTGGTAGTGGTTTTGGTATCTACCGGGGTGATTGTAGTTAGAGAATCCACCACCATGATTAAAGTCGTGGTAGGGTAGAGGAGGGACTGAGTTGTCGTAAGACCAAGAAGAACGGTATTCCCTGTGTTGATCCATGCTGGAGCCCGGAATGAAAAAACCCTAATCAGGCATGGGAATTGTTAACAGTGGTTTGCCTTTGCCTTTGCCCTTGCAAATGGAAATGGAAATGGAAATTTTCAGTTAACCCTTGTACTCTTAGTTCTAGCCATATCAACCCCTTCCACAAATCAAACTCAAATGTTCTAAAAATCAGGGTTCAGTTGGATGGTTCCGCTCTATAAGATGATCATGAAAACCAAAATTAACTTGTTTAGGAAGGACGGATGGACGGACGGACGGCCATATACAAAAAATTTATCATCCAACTCATTCTTATTTTGTTTGATTTAAAAAAACCAAAAACATATTTTTGAGTTGTGTATTTATTATGGAGGGAGTTGAAGTGTCAAGTAGTTAAAATGTGAGGGGGGCGAGAGAATGGGGCATAAAACATCAAGGGCTGCTTGTTGGTGCATATTATCGGATCATTAGATTAGATTAGATTAGATGGGTTTTCTTTTCAACTGGCTCCTACATCCTTCCCTCCGGTTAGGACTTGGCAGTGAGAAAACGAGCCCTAGCTTGTTATCTGTTGCTGTCGCCGCTCACTGTTCTTATCCTCCGGTAATACCATCGCATCTCTTCATCATCCATTCTTCTTGTACGATATTTTCCGATATACGCAGACTATAGTTTTGATTTTTGGGGCTTTTTTTAAACCCTTTTGTTTTCTACATTTTTGAAACTGTTGCATGCTTTCTTACCAGGGATTATTACTTATCCAATAAAAATGGCTAATAGAGAAGATTTAGACATCGATGATGATTTTAGTGAACTCTACAAGGAATATACTGGTCCTCCAAGAACCAATACAACTGACCCCACAAAGACTAATAAAACATCCCATGCCGCTTCAGATGAAGAAGAGGAAACCCGAGACCCAAATGCTGTTCCTACTGATTTTACTAGCCGGGAAGCTAAGGTTTGGGAGGCAAAATCTAAAGCTACTGAAAGGAATTGGAAGAAAAGAAAAGAAGAAGAAATGATTTGTAAAATATGTGGAGAATCTGGTCATTTTACTCAGGTATCAAATATCATCATCTTTTTCTTCTTCTTCTTCAACTGTTTTCTTGTTGGTGTTTTTCATACATACTGGGATTGCTGCCCTAAATGTGCGCTCTTTTCCTCCAAATAAGAGAAATAAAGTAGCACAAATTTGGTGCATAAGCATTCTCATCAAACAGTAGATGTGTTATATTATAAATGGCGAGAAAGACAAATACAAACTTTGCAGTGCTTTTAGCTTTACAGTTAGGTCTAGCGAGTCTGTTGTCTTTACCTCTTTTTTTACATCGTCAATCTGTTGGTGACAGTGGTAAACGGGTTCTGATTGTTTTGTTGTCAATTTATTAATCAAATGTATGTGCCAGGCTAACCATTGGTATCGGACAGAAAGATACTGTTATGCTTGGATATTCTTAAGGACGCATATATGATATACTCCATTTATTGGTAGGAAATGGCCCTTTCGAGGTGGTGCTGTATCTCTTATACACACACTCCATTGCAGTGACATGACGTCTCATGATTTTGAAACATAAGAAGGGCCATTACCTGGCCTTAGTGCGTTAATTATGTTGGGGTGATTATCTTTCCTTTGATCTGTTTCTTTGTTACCACAACTGATCTAAAAGATGCTACAATTTTGGTTTCAAATGTGTTGCGTGACTATAATAGGGTTGTCCATCTACTCTTGGAGCTAATCGCAAATCTCAAGATTTCTTTGAAAGGGTTCCTGCAAGAGATCCTCAAGTAAAAGCACTCTTTACTGAGAAGGTTATAAGCAGAATAGAGAAGGACATTGGGTGCAAAATTAAGATGGAGGAGAAATTTATGATTGTTAGTGGCAAGGATAGACTAATCTTGGCCAAAGGTGTAGATGCTGTTCACAAAATTAAACATGAAGGTGACAAGAAAGTTGGTTCGAGTTCCAATATTGCTAGGTCAAGGTCACCAGAAGGGAGAAGTCCCATTACCTCCAGAATGGGACGCTCTGATTCTCAAAGGTCTAACCCCAGTCCTAGAAATTCTTCACATTATAACCAGCGGTTTGGCAGGCAAGAGAAGATCATTGAAGAGCGGGTGCGTGAAGATTTGCAAAAGTTACCAAGGGGGTCCCCACAAGGTAGGGACATCGTAGGAATATATATGGTTATATGAAGATGGTAAACAAATGGTCCTAGTTAAAAAATCCCTTTCAAGCTTTCCTGCATTGCCTAGTTTCATTGTTCTTTACTTTTATTTTTGCCTCAAACTATATAATAATGTTGTTTGTTACTTATTCTTTGATTTGCAGCAAGAGGTAAGTTCTTATGTTCCAGAATTATGTGTTGGATTCTGAAGTAACTTTCTGGGTGGGTCTGAATTGAATGGGTTGACTCCGATTTTTTTGTGAACGCATATCCCGACTTCTTTGATTCAGATGGGTTCACTATGAGAGTTTAAGATTGTCTGTTTAGTTAAAGCTGCCCTCGTTGTTTGCCGTCTTGAATCGAAGTGTTTAACACACTCTTCATTTGGTGAAGCTTATGGGAATGATGGTGCCCGGGGTCGGTCAACACATTCAAAATCTCCTGCTCGACCTCCTTATACTGGTGGTGCACATAGTTCATATGATGGTCACAGCCACAGCAGGGCAGTGCACAGGAATAAAGGATGGGATGCTGACAAGCGTGGACCTGATTTGCAATCTAGCAGTAAAGGGGACTACTCTACCTTCCCTCAGACGTTGGAGGATTTACATTTGGAATATAAGAAGGACGCAATGGAGATGACAAAAATCCGAGACAAGGAAGAAGATGAAGAAAATAACAGACATCGTGAGGTATCCCAGTAGTTAACAGTACTCTTTGTACTAAATTTATATAATTGGATTACAAGCATATCTGTGATGGAAAAACAGTGTCCAATTATAACTTTCTTTAAGAAATGTACACTCTTGATTTTCTTCTGTACAAGGAAATATTGGCCTTGTGACATATTTGCCTATTTTAGACTGTCAGGGAAATGAGGGAAAACTACATGAAGAGATTTGCTATGTTGCGAGCAATGCATGCAAAGCAGTGGGAAGAGTTTCTTCAACTTGATGCCCAACAGCGGGAACAGAGGGTGCGTCAGCACATGCCTACTTCAGGATTTGATGGTTATAAACAAGACAGTTACTCCGAATATGACAATGCTGTTGGCAATCCTTATGCTGCCAATATGCAAATGGATTTAAGGGTGAGGTACTCAGATGTTGATAACTATCCATCTTCGAGGTCCCATGACAATTATGGTGATTTTCAACGCCAAAGGCATGAAGAGTATGGGAAGGCATATAATAGATTTTGAATCATGTGTATCAGTGCTGGTGAGTTGTCTTATTCTCTAATCTTGCTGATACATATAATCATGGTTGGTTATCCAACCGTCCTTCCATTCCTTTTATGCATATGGGTTTGAGAAACACAGTGGCCTGCTATACAGTGATGCATTCTGAAATCTTGATCACTGTAGAAAATAAGCAAGGCCTATACTCCAGGACAAAGGACTTTTGTAAATATAGCAAAGATTTGTGTTTGGCTTAAGTACTCACTTGAAAAATTTTCAGGGCCCAGAACCAGGTTGGGCATGATTGAGGGAGCACTGAGTCTAAGGTAAGTGTAACAATTATGCTGTGGGGTTTGATAAATTCAATAGTTGCATAAACTCTTTTGTTGTATTTGTTTTAGGATGGATATATGACTTTGGTTGATATGGATGTTAGATTTGAAGTTGTATGATTGAAGTTGATGGTGGCTATTTTTTTAGGTTTGGTGGTAACCAGAATCTAAAATCTGGGTTGAATCTTGTTTTCTGTTTATGCTTATATATTTTTGTCTTAGATATGATTGCGGTTGAAATAGTGAATTATTGTCTTAAAAGGAGGATGAGATGTTGGATTCAAGTATCATGACAAGTTGAAGTTAAAAGAAGAAAAAAATGCAAGTTGCTTGAATTAATACAAGCTTAAAGGTCCACTTGGTATTAAAATCTTATTACTTTTTCATGTGTGTTGCACTATTGCCTTGGTCTGGCGTACCCCTCCAATTAGCATTACTAATTTTTGGCAATTTGCTTATCTTTTGATAAGTAGAGTTGTTCAACGAGGTTACATAGTAGTAATTAATATAGAAAAACAATGTGCTGCTGCTCGAGGTCCTCAATTTGGAGCTGCATAATCATAGAAAATTGAAGCATTTGGAGAGAAAGAAGTAGTAAGTAGGTAAGCAAGCATTAAGGAGATACCTTGTCCTAGAATTGTTCCATAAAAAGATCAACTCCAGTTATATGTGTTGTAGCATTTTCATGAGTCAATATAACACCTCTGGGATCTCCATTGGTGCCGCTTGTGTACATGATGGTACATATGTCACATGCCTCAGGGGTCATGGATGTTCACTACCCTATTCGTTCGTTCATTCTTAATCTCTTCAAATCATAAACTATATTTTACTCAAATATACATATGAAGCTCTGGGCATTGCAAGCCTACATCCAAGCATCTTGTAAGTGTTGTTAGGATACTTGTGAACAGAAGTCTCAAAGACATCCCAAGTTGTTTTCATATGAGAATCCAAAGGTGGAAAAGAATCCTTGGCAACAAGATTACGGTAAACATGGATCACCTTTTCCTTTTCCTTTTCTTCCATCCTCCACCTTCACACCAAACTGCTTCTCCATTACTACTACCCTATTTCAAATGCTATTTAAACTACTACTAGTAGTAGTTATGTTATAAATTCATTATCAGTTTTATCTGTATTATATCAACCCTGCAACACTAAAATGAATGTGAGGCAGAGAGGCATTAAATATGATGATGGCAATTGGTATCTATATACTGAAGTCCAACAGGCAATGGAAGGTATTGATTATGCACCACCTGCCCCTCCCCCTTTCTATCTTTCTTTGGACCATTTGTGCCGCATTCCCATGAAATGTTCCTCTCTAGCTCGTGCTGAAACGAAAGAACGCTGGTTGTGCAGATCATTGAAATCCGCTCAAATAATGACAGATTGCCTCAAATTCAATTGCTTCTTTTTTATAAAAACCAAAATTAAAACAAGGGAATTCATCATAATCTACTCTGGCTTTGCAAATTGCAACAACAATTCATATATAAAACACCTCATATATATAAAAAATAAAAAAAGGAGTTAAACAGTCGGACAACATTCAAGGTTAGGTTTTAAAACAATACATGTTAGAAATTTGGATATAAATAAAAATGCTAAGGACGATTTTACAACGAACAACATTCACATCACCACAACATATCTAATCATAATCTTCAAAGAGGGGCAGCTGCTAACCCATCAAATTCTACGCCAACTTGTCTCATTTCTTGCTCCATCGCTGCTTTCATAACACCCACCTCTGAATCCCTTCTCTCCTTCTTCAATAACAAATGCCTGCGTCTTTCCTCCAACTCCTTTATCTCCCTATCAATTTCACCAATCTCTTCATCCATTCTCTTCTCTTCTAACTTAAGCTCCTCTATTTTCTCTCCAACCCCTTTCCACCGCTCCTCCAGCTCTTCCTCTTTGTCCTTTATCAAAAGCAAACCTGTCAATCGATCCCTTATCACCTCCACCTCAAATCCATGGCTTTCTAATTCTACCAGTGTTTCCAAGCAATCCTCGATCCCACTTCTCCCATCATCAAACCTCAAACCACAAGTCTTCTCCACTACGCTGGAAAATGTCACCATGCTACCAATAGCCAATCCTTCCCGAGCGCTCTCCTTCACACCTTCCAACAATGGACGGAAATGTGGTTTTTGTGGAATCATGCGGAATGCTTCCATTGACTCTATTGTCTGCCAAAGTGGAGTGCTTCTCACAAAGGGCAAGATTATGGCATTCTCACAAGTAACAATCTCCAACCTTCTCTCACTTGCCTTGGATGATTGTTCCAACATTCCCTCTAGGCCACAAGGTACAATGTTTGTCATTAATATGTATGTAATCATCAAGATAAATAAAATGCAGTTAAACAAGCATTACCTGCCATTGGAGACTGCATTCCTCCAAACCACCTCGAAAGAGGTTGATCATCAGACATCATGTCCAGCGATTTCCCAACAGAAGCTTCAGTATTTTTTGCAGAAGCCTTCTCCACACACCCATCTGCTTTTTCTTTAGATGCACCTTGACAATCTACAGCGAAAAACACCAAAGACTTGGAAACAAATCTAAAGAATTACAAAGAAATTTCATGGTGATGCAATGAGAATGATCCTCCAATTTCTAAAGAAGTCATTTGTGCACCTTCAGCTGGAGATTCGGTGTTTATACTGATTGTCCGTCGCTTTCCTCGTTTTCCTTTAATTGATGAATACTTTTTCTTCCCCCTTTGAGAATTTCTATCTTGCCCAACATTTTCATTTCGCAGTTTGTCTTTACTCGTTGAGAGAATTTCCATTACAGTAGACATGTTCTGCTTTATGGCGTCTTGTTCGACATCAAATCCCAACTGCTCCTTTACAGGTGCCTGGTTCTCTTCCAACGCTTTGGTTCCTGAACTTGTAGGCGAACCAACTTCTTTCCTTTGAGTAACTTCCACCACAGAAACTGCAGAAGAACCAACACCCCCCTCTTGATGATTAACTGCAATTAAACAATTTGTTAAAAATGCATAGATGAATTATCAAGCAGCAAATATAAATAATTTAGAAGGTTTAAAGTATACCTGCGACAGGAGTCTTGGGGCTTATGGCTTGTAACTTGGGTGGTCTACCCCTCTTCCTTTTTGGAGCAACAGTGTCAGCATCCCCTTCTTTTCCCTCCTAGATAGAATAAGAAACTACTTTTTTAGAAGTACAATGGATGGTACAAAATACTTCCCAAAGGACTGGGAGTGAATCAAAGGTTAGGCATGAAATAGTTTTTGAAGCATGCACAGCAGACGATAATTTTGTTCTCTACAAACATTCAAGCCAGAATTTATAACATTTCATTCAGTGAGTAAGAAATGATTAATTGCTTTGCGTTTTCTATCCCAATGTGTCAAAGAAACCTAGATCTACAATATTTCTCATCTGTGGGAGCAAGTGTAAATTTCTCACCTCATTAACCACTGTCAGGGGTGCCAATGAAATGCTTGATTGTTTTGTCTCACCTTCTGCAACATTTGGCATTCTTTCACTGGACAACTGCTGAAGTTTCTTCCCTCCTGATATTGTCATTACATTACATTTCAACCCTATGACAACAGGAAGGACCAGATCTTTGCTAACATGTTCTCTTTCCACATTTTCTTGGGTTCCATTTTGGACTGGATCACCTTTAGCTCCTGAAAAATGTTTTCTCCTTGAGCACTCGTGTATATATATAAGAATTCAATTAGAAGGACAGATGTTACTAGGATTCAATTAACCACACACCTTTGCCTAGAGCCTTCAAGCTTCTAGGTTCGTCTGCTAATCTCACCTTCTTTCTTGAAGAATCCATTGTCGGACTTTTCAGTTCAGTACCTTTTCCTCGTTTACTACGCTGCAATAACTGAAAAGTCAATCCTGACCCTGAATACTGAATAAAGGAATAAACAAAACCAATTATTGCTTAATAAGGCAAACAACCCTTCAACTGTTGGAATCATATCGCTTGCCCATCCAAACAATTGTGATTTAGAGCTACTAATCATATATTGCAAGCTAGTAACCAATGATAATATGATACCCATTCATTGTGTCCCCTAAATTTTCAGATATTCAAACCTATTTGACTCATTACCATCACATTCACATCTATATCAATATCTAATAATCTAGATCTTAGGTTGAAGTATCCAGCTATTGATCAGGTTCCTCTTTGAGTCCCAAGAAAAATTAAAAAAAATGTCTCAAATTTAAGTGATTTAGCATCTAAAAAGGACAGTCACACCTCATAAACTAAATGATTCCACTATTTACACGTAAGACGATACTAGCTATTTTGCCAACAATACGGTCCAACTACCATTTAGTTAGTTCATTTTTTTTATGACTAAGCCAATAAAAATACATTAGCCACATCTTTCTAGCTTGTAACCTTATGTCTATCATTGACTAGATAAGATATTCAACTCACCACTTTCTTTCCATGAGAAAGATTCTCAGTTTTACCAAAGGCTTGGTCATTTATTACACTTGCTTCAGAATCGAATCCCTCAGACTGACCAACAGGTGGGTTGTTCGACTTCTTACATGGTGCCATTTTGGATAGACTTGGATCATCAGACAAAATTTCATTATTCAATCTCTTGGAAGGCAGTGAATTCTTGTCATTACTATCAAGAGTTGTCTGCTTTGTTCTCTTCATTATCGATGTTGCAACAGTAGATTGTTTACCAATGCTAGGGGTTGTCTGCTCAATCTGCCTATCCATCAAGGAACCAATTGTTCTCCCATCCACGTCACCCTTCACAGAATTAAATTCACCATGCACAAAAGCCTTCTCAGTACGCTATTCACATAATTACAGTTACAAAGTGTGCTGAAGAAAAAACAAGACTTGAGATGCCATGAAGCAGATCAAAGTTCAATGCATGATTTTGTCACTTAGCGTCAATAGAGAAACTAGAACGCCTCCTTACATCAAGAATAAGCAAAAATCAAAATAGCAGTACAAGCAAACCACAGACATAGGATCAAATATAAAAAGATCTAAATCAATTGAAGTTACAATGGGAAGCTGAAGAAGATCTAAATAACTTAAAGTTAGACCCAAATCTTGTGGCAAAGGCCCCAGAGGCTAAAAAATTAATTGCAATATCATATCATACTGAAAAAATCTTTCCCAATTGAGTCCTATAAGTTTTGATATGCTATAATTCCTTGACTAATAGAAAATCCAACAAAATAAAGTTAGTATACAGTCTATATGCAAACACTTGAGAAGGCTTTAATCCAACACTCATGGCTAGCAGAAGTCTTCTCCTGATCCAGGATACAACTTCATATCTACTTAGATTATTAAATATACACGTCTTTACGGGAAAGCTTCCCCTAACTAGATACAGACTACCACCAGATGACACCAAAAAATATCAGCTCTCGTATCCAAATAAAGGGAAGTGATACCACCACCTGAGCTATCTGTTCAGGTCATTTTTTTAACCAGAAAAAATACTTCATTATGCCACATGACAAACACACGTTGGAGAGCGTATTCTTCTATCTCTTCCTCAAGAAAAGCTCATGACCAGGATTAGACATTTGCTTCAACTATATCCAGATTATACAGCAAGTACGCCGCTGAAAAACCACGTGTAGCTTCTAGCACCACAGCTGAACTAACTAGATGGCACCCACAAAGCCTAGGACTGACATTGAAATCGGAAATCAATGTTGGACACCAGCTATCTTAAGACATAGCGAAGCAGAGGAGCAAAAGATGCAGCACAATAAAGGGTGAACCAACGAATTACGAAAAGAAAGAAGCGAATCAATCCAAATAGATGCAACTAGGAGAGAGAAAATAGAGAGATTGTCGAACCTGAGCATGACTGCAACTTTCATGCAAATGTTCAACTGCGATTAATAAATGTTCATGCTATATGTTAAATGGTATTGTAAACTATTTAAAGCATGCAAGTATTTGTTTTACAATTGAAAATGCATGAATAATGATTTATTGCATACTGTGAAATGCATGTTGTGTCATGTCTTACATAGTGGGAGTGGTGTACAATGAGTCTGTGATGGTCTCATGAGGGTTGTCGTAAATAGTAAGACAAGTGCATCTTGCTGGGCCAGTGCTGTAAGAACAAGACATGTGGCTCTTACCAGGCTTGATAAAATAAGCACGATCCACAGGTTTTTGAGAAGAAAACAGTAAGAGCACGACATAGTTACAGGTATAAAAGTGTCTTACGAGTTAGGCATGCTTACCTGAGAAAAATGATTCAGTTAAGATATTTTGAAATGTTGTTTTGGAAGTTATTAACGTGAAAGTTGCAAAAAATCATGAATTTACCAAGCCTTTGGCCTAACAAAATCCTTTTAAAAAACTTGACAACCCAGACTACTATATGACTGAAAGGAACAGTGTGCAGAAGTGAAATCTGAGGATCAAGATTCTTAGAAGGTGAAGTGCAGTTCAAGGCACTAAGGCATAAAGTAAAAAGGAATTGTAAGATTCGATTGTATACATTTAATGAAAGTTGAGATCTTGTTCCGCAGTGATGTTAAGATAAGATCTTGGAATGAATTATGTGTACTGTTATTCTGGAATACGGGTCTTTATACATAAGGAGTTATGTAAATAATCTAAACATACCGTAGAAAGAGAATGAATTTTTTGCTAGTATATTATTTGGACATTGTTACTTTCCTAAATGACTAGTTCCATCGTTCCATCAGATAGAATCACTATAAAGCATTAGAAATATTTCTCCAACTTGAGAAAAATGAATTGATGAAAGAAATAGAGAAAAACAAGTAATGCCCACTTATTTGTTTGAAACACTTAAACTATGCGACTGATCAAGCAGCCCTAACTCATCTGGATAATGAGTGGACGCTTACCACCTAGGCAGCCACTTAAAAAGTTAAGCATGGTTTTCATATAAGTGTCCTTTCCTTTGAGGAGGTGATGAGCAACGTGCAATTTGAATAAATTAAATGAGAGGATAGAAATCATCCAACAACATTCTTGAACCTCCAAACTGAGAAAAAGAGAACAAAGACCACTGCAGTTCAATAGAATGAATTCCGTAGTACCCTACCATATGGTAGGTTGAAGGTCCTACCTCATTAGAACTGAAATATTACCTTCAATTCATCAATGTCTGTACCAAGCCAACCCATAACATAATGTTAAACCGGATGACACAATTCAATTGATTAAGGAGAAGTAGATCCCAACTACCAAGCACTCTTACTCCCACAGAATTGTAAGATGCTGTTTATACGTTTGAAGATGAGGTAAGCGGTCTATAAAAATAATCATCCTACTCAATCATAAACTATAAGGGGAAAGGGGAATTGGAACCAACCAAAAACCTGAATGATGCAGCCCCTTCACTCTTGATTCAGGATTGAGGATTGATGGAACCAATAGAAAATGTAAACTCACAAGTTAAGTCAAGGAATGAACCACAGAGCACCATGAGACAGACTAAAATTCATGTCAGAGGATTTTGAAGCAGCAAGGAATCACACCTCTCACAGGAGTCACCAATCACCCAAATGAATGTGGCAGACCCTTAGATGTCACTCAATAGATAGAGCATATTCTCTTTCAAGGAGATGATATATGAAAGAAAATGGAAAGAATAGGTGTTTGAAGACGATTTGCACACAGTATATGACTAAGTATGCAAAAGGTAAGGTAAAGAAAAATTTATCTGAACAACCAACCTAACATAAGGATTCTAGCTCATCCGGTTAGAGCACATGATGATTCTCAGACAACAAAAAAAGAATAATGGTATTCAATATCCACCATACAAGACCCCAAAAAAAATCTTATCATGCCCTCAACATCAACTATTTGATGAATTTGGTTAATAAAACCCTACAAGACCCAAAAAAATCTTATCATGCCCTCAAGATAAACTAAAACCCTGAAAAAGGTATAAGCCCTTTGTGAGTTCCTGACAACATGGATCGTCTAAGAGGGGCAAGAAGAAGGCTGAAGATTTTTACCAAATAAGGATCAAAATTTACTTTCTTAAGAAGGGAGTCCAATATTAAAGCCTTTTCTTGTTCAATGTATGCTCACATGATCAATTGATGAAGGAGGAATTGTGAGGATGACAAGAAACGACCCAACTATAAGTAGGCAATTGCCTTTCGATGGTGAACCAAGAAACTTGACTATTATTTCACATGCTAACTCCTAGCACAAAAAGAGGACCTCATTTTTGGTAGGAGGGACTTAAGCCTTCATTACCTTTCAGTAGATATATATATATATATACACACACACACACATACAAAGAGAGAGAGAGAGAGAGAAAGGGAGGGAGTTTCAAGTACAAACCATGTAATTGTAACAAACCCTACAAACCTAATCTTAACCCTTGATTTTGTTTATTTTGAAATTTAGAGGCGGTTATAAAATCAGTTAAAGATTCAGTTGATAGTAAATTTAGGAACTGATTTAATCCACACCGATGATTAGCTACACGTACAATTGAGATTGTTTTGTAGAGTTTGTAATAATTACATGGTTTGTCGTTGAAACTCCCTTTATATATGTGTGTGTATATACCCACACGTATTATGTACACATTTTCAAGTATATATGAATATTTGATATTGTACCTAATGCATACCTACATAAATATTATATTATACTTACATATACATATATATAGTATCGTTTTAGGCACTTTTTGTCTCATTTTCCGAGTTCTTTTAGTTTACAAAAGCTTAGTATTGGTTTGCTTACACTTAAATTCTTGGTTTGCATATAAGTTGAACATGCTTGAATTGTTGGCTCATTAACAACCTTGTTGATTATTCATTCAATCACAGATTAGGTTGCACTTATTTTTCTACATTGAATAGCCAAAGTTCTATGAATATAATATATGCATAATCATTACGAAGGTTTTAGACAACATATAAGGATTCACATTGTCCAAAAAATAGAGTGGGACTGGTGCAATTAAAAAGCATGTAGACAAGTTAACCATGGAAATAATGATATGAATACCTGGGAAGTGTTGAACCATTTTCCACCTTTCCACTCCATATGTGGCCTCACTCTTGAGTAAATAAATTCTCTTTCCTTTTTTGCGTGTTTAAAGAACACATTATACCTATTATCAGCAAGTTCTTTGGTAATTACTCCACTCCACCAGCCAAAGTCAAAGTAAGCATCCACCTTTTCCAACAGAACAAAATTTTTATCCCTTAGATGAGGGGGTGAGGGCCTGATGTGAAGGTAATCTACTGTAACTTTATGAAGAGCTGCCTCATCACCGATTCCTGGCTGCTGATACTCAACCAGAAAACAGTTGTTGCCGGAGTCTTTTAGGACAGTTGCAGGGAACCATACATCTCGCAAATCTTCTCTCTCAAAAGACACTTCTACTTTCTTGCCTGCCGTGAACATCAACCCTGCTGTTCTCTTTCGAGAATTTTTTAAAGGGGAAACAATCAGAAGCATGGATAAACGATAAATAACTTTAAAAAGATTCTTATAGAGAGATTAAATTGAAAGCATGCATGATATAGTGAGATGGAAAGAAAGGGAATTTGCAAAATTTTGACAAGACGCCTAAATTAGGACAAACTGTAAAAAGACAAATCATAAAGCCAGAAGGGAATTCTCGGTTTGAAATGCTGAGACATGTTTTTGGTTCATTGTAGCATAATATCAAGATGGCTCGCAAGAGTTATAAAAAAGCATCACAGAAGATAAGACATGTTTTTGGTTCATTGTAGCATAGTATGGTTACTGATCGTGTAGTGAAGAAAAAACAAAACGTCCCGTAAAAGAAGCCTAGCAAGCAGAAAGAAAAAGAAAGCAATATACATATATATATAAAGAAAAGAGTGTATATATGAGTATTACTAGTAGGAAAAAGGAATGGCAACTAGAAAAGGGTAAAGCGGAAACCTGCTTCTCGGGTTGGATCCATCTGCCAGCGACCCATTTTCTATGGACGCGTAAATCAGAAGAATGGAATTGAATTTGGTCGGGGGGGTTTTGGAAGGCGACAATGAAGTTGGAGTCGTCTACGACGGCTGATATGGTGCCGGTCCACCAGGCGTCGCGGTAAAAGGCGTCGACGAGGTCGTTGAGTTGGAAATTAGGAGCAGGAGCGTTGGTATCGGGATGCGGTGAAGGCCTGATGTAGGAAACGTTGGCATACTCTCTCAAGCGTCTGGAAGAGCCGTCTTCGGATAAAAGATTATGGTATTCGACATAGACCAGGTTGTTGCGGGTATGGTGATTTGGAGGTTTGTTCTTTTTAGAGGTGGAGACGGAAGGAGGAGGATGGATTACGGTGGCGACGAACCAAGCACCGGTGAGACCGTCTTCGTCGGAGCTAACTTCAACCTGAGAACCTTTAGTGAGGAAGGAGTAGGGAGAGTGGGAATCCATGGGTGGTGTTTAGGGCATTTGATTTGTTCGTTCCAATTTCAAAAACCCTCCAGGGGTGGAGCATCGATTTATTTATTTAAATTTAAATTTAAATTTAAATTAATAAACCCTCCCCTTGTTTTCACCACAACTTATTTGTGTGTTCAAAAAACAAAAAACAATGTCAAACTTTTTTTTTATTTTTTCAAGTTTTAATCCTCCTCCTTTATTTATTTATTTATTTATTATTTTCTTTGTTGGTTTTGAAGTAAAATGACCTGAGAGATGAAACTAATCCAAGCATCGGGTGGAGTGGGGGGATTATGGATCAACATTTAATATTTGAATCATTAATTTATACAAGCATCTGAGTTAAACTCTTAAAAATCATATTTGATGTATCAAGTAATGTTTAATAATACATGTGTTAAATGATAAGTATGTCATCGTCTAAAGTATATGATGATAATGATAAAGATAAAACTTAGACACAGTGATAAATATATCAAAGTTAATACTTAATCAGGAATGGATATAAGAACGACAAACTGTGCCCTTGCATTTCTATAAAGAAGACAAGTTCTGGATTTTCAATCATAGTTGTATATGTTGATGATATGAACATAATAGGTACTTTTGATGAAATAAGACATACTACAAGCCATTTAAAATCTGAATTTGAGATGAAAGATATTGGGAAAACTCGGTTTTGTCTAGGTATAGAACTACTACATCGAGCTTGTGGAATCCTTATCCACCAGTCCCCTTGTATCCAAAAAAAATGCTCATGCGATTTAATATGGATAAAACACATCCGACCAGCACTCCCATGATCGATCGAAGCTTGGATATAAGGAAAGATCTATTTCATCCAAAGGATGATGACGAAGAGGTGTTGGGAGCTGAAATTCCCTATCTAAGTGCAATAGACGCATTATTGTACTTAGCACAATGTACTCGACCAGATATTGCATTATCAGTGAACTTGTTAGCTAGATTTAGTTCAGCGCCAATGCAACGTCATTGAAATGGTATCAAGAATATATTTCTATACCTAAAAGGAACCATCGACATGGGCTTATTCTTTCCCTACAAAGAGAAAAATGAGGTTACAATACATGTTAAATATATTAACAAAGAAAGCGTTATCCCCTATAGTGAAACCCTAAATGATATATTAGTAGGTTTTCCTGACGATGGGTATCTCTCTGACCCATATAAAGGTCGTTTTCAGACAAGATATGTTTTTACAATTGGGAACACGACGATTTATTGGAAATCTATCAAGCAAACCCTTGTAGCTACCTCCTCTAACCATTCAGAGATTATTGCTCTACATGATACGATTCGAGAATGTATATGGCTAAGGTCTGTCATTGAACATTTAGTGGTTTAAGTTCAACCACTCAAAATCCCACATGCATATATGAAGATAACGCAACTTGTATTGAACAAATGAAAGTGGGGTATATCAAGGGAGATAATACAAAACATATCTCGCCTAAGTTTTTCTATAATCAGTAACAACAGACTCTCCTTAAGATTTAATTGAATCAAATAAGGTCTGAGGAGAATGTGACTGATTTGTTTATCAAATCACTACCTAAGGTCGCATTTGAGAAACATGTGGAAAGCATTGGAATGTTGGAGGCTTTCTAAACTCCTATGATTAACATACGTATCAGGGGGAGTAGTAGACGAAAGAGGGATCTACAATACATATGATATTGGTATGTTGTGCTCTTTTCTTCATCCAAGGTTTTATTTTTCTCAATGGGTGTTGTTCCTTGTTGTAAGGTTTTAGTGAGGCAACCGTTTAAATACCATATTGTTTTCTGTACTCATATGATTATTGTAGCAATATGAGGGAACACTAGACTAAAGAAATATTCTATAAACAGGTGCATTGTACTCTTTCCTTCGTGCTATTTTTATTTTTTTCCATTGGATTTTTATTTTGACTTAAGGTTTTAACGAGGCAACAATAGTGTACCATCACTAATTTGACTTGACACAAGGGGGAGTGTTGAAGGATAAATGTGTCATCTTCTAAAGTATATGACGATAATAATAAAGATAAAGATAAAGATAAAGCTTAGAGATAGAGATATATAGAGATAGTGATAAACATATTAGAGTTAGATTACTATTATGTATCGTATGATTATCTCTTTGTAACTTATCCCTATTTAAAGGGCTTATGATTAATGAGAATAAAACTGATTTCTCGATTCTCTATATTATTTGATTTACAACAACATATTACTTATAATTCAAGATTACAAGTAAATGATGCATGAGTAATATGTTTGAATTCATATAACTAACTGATAAACATAATCAAATACACGATAATCATCTTATTTTTAATATAAAGAATCTGAAATATTATTTGAATAATAATTGAGTTTGAACAGAATACTTTATTATTATTTATTTTTATTAAAAAACATTATATTATTAAACCTAAAATAAGATATTTGATTATTAAACCTAAATTAAATTATAGTAAGAAAATAGAACTAAAAATTATATTTATAAAAAAATATTACATTAAATCTAAATAAAATTATATTAAAAATTGAACTAAAAAGCTATTAAAAAAAGGATAATTTTTAAATTATCAATTTGATACTAATATTGATATATTCTTTTCAAAATTTTATGGAGTCTTCAGGTTTATATTTTATTAAAATAGAAAATGTTGGAACTTATGAGTTTTATCTACAATTTTGTGTCTTGTATGTATCCCACATAGGTGGATGAGAGAAGTGAAAATATGTTAATAAGTACCATTCCACTCAAATGTTTGTAAGTCTTTAGAAGGGAATTGATGGATGATTAATTTGGTTTATATTATAATATATTAATTAATCAAAGACTTAGCAATAAGCACTTTGCGTCCTAAGAAAATAATATCGTCATTAATTCTGTTAATAGTAGTTAATGGCAGTTATTTCTGGAGGGAAAAAGTAATCATTGTGTTGATTACTTTTTGGCAGTTGACTTTCCAAACGATGTGTTCATTCATGAAGAGTCATGTTGGTTCGTTTTAACTACTATATAAGGGTGCATATGGTTGTCTCAATAACATAACAAAATTTGATGCACTTTCAATACATACAAAATGCAAACGCTTGATGTTCATGTGAACTTTGTGTACACTGCATAAAGTTCTGTTATTTGAGGTTGAATTCTGGGAAGAAATTAGTCTCGAACCACCGGCGTAAATAGTGGGGGCTAATATTCTTTAAGGATAGTGATTATCACGTCCTCAATTCAGTTTATATTATTAGAGAAAATCTGCCATATTCTAACAGAAAAACATTATCGTTTTCTCAAAAACCATATTATAAAATCGAGGGAGATTAGTAATAGATGGAAAGGTTAATGAATTTACAATACAGGAGTTGAGACGTTTGAATCATGTTGAAATATTCTTGTTGAGCCAGCGTGATAATGCAATCAAGAATGGCGTGTAGGCAAAATAACAAGTTATAGTCCAACTTACGCATCCCTGCAGGATCACATAAAACAACAATATTAAACATAAGCAAATAAAAGCTCTCTCTCTCTCTGTATGTATATATATATATATATATATATATATATATATATAAAATAACTAGTAGGAGGAGTAGTAGTAGTAGTAGTGTGCCTGCAAATTAATGCATAAGGTAACAGTTTATTGTTGACCCATAATAATACGGTACCTGGCCCATGATCTGGATGTTTGGGTGGGGATAATACCATAGATGGAACAATCTAAAAACAACAACTTAACCATTATCAGCAGCTGATTGATTCTATTGTTAGTTGAAAGCAGTAAGAATGAATTAATTACTTACTTCATTATAGGAATCTCAGCAAGTGGGCAGGCAATACCAACAAGGCAAGCCAATGCAAACCCAACCCTACTCCTGTCAAACGCTAACCACACCAATTCAGCACATCCAAACAGTATGTAGGCTTCCACATCGTCTTCAACTCCAGCTTTATATAGTTCAGCACTCAAGTCAATGAACACCACCAACGCTCTATCATCATTATCATGAGACAATGATGCTTATTATTATAAGACAAGGTTAGGTTACTACTTACTACTAGGTATGTACATGTAATGTAGCAAAGATGCTTACAAGAGGGAAGCAAGGACTTTCCCCAAACCATTCTCAGGAGGAGGCCTCGACTTTTGATCCAGAAAAAGTTGCAGCAAACCAACGGTGGCGTAAAACAATCCAAGCAAGGGAGGAACCCAGATGTTGGTGTGGAGAGGACCGATATCTATGGACCCATTCTCATAAACCACAAGATTCACCCTCGAGTGGATGCCGTCGATAAGAGGACCCACAAGGAAACCGCACCCGAAGAGGCAGACAGAAACGGACGGCCATATGCTTTTCTGGTTGTGACAGCAGGACACAAATGGCTTCCGAGTGTGGGTGTGGATGTGGATGGGATTCATAGGATGGAGTCTGAATCTGAACCTGGTAGAGGAGCCAACCAAGAGATTCATGGTCGCCGCCATCTACTAATTATTACCTTAATTGGTTGGGGATGGAAATGGATATAAGCTGCTTTTGTGGCCATATACTAGAATTAGTTATTGATTCTATTATTATATTTATAATAATAATAATAATAAATAGACCCATTCCAAATGAATGGATGGAGATATTTATAAAAGTAGGTAATTTAGCAAGCACACGTGGATAGATGTTATCAACATCAAACATAATTTCATTTTAATAAAATTAATACCATGAGTGATTGCATTTGCATCCATTCAGTAGAACAAACAAACAAACACAACAATTAGCAATTAGCAATTACCAAAACATTCTTACATCCAATCCTCAAAACCACCAACTTAACTTCTTGTATGTACAATATATATATATATATATATATATATATATGTATATCTATCCATCCTATTTCTCATTTCACAACCCAATCTCCTTCCCTTGTTTAATAATTATAAACCAGATAAACACTGCTTGCTTCCTCATTATGGACATTTTTGCATCATCTACACTTTGACTTCATTAACTGAGTTTGCAATAAGCTGTCAAAATCAATCCCATAAGTATTATGCTAGCGGGATTATTGGTTATAAGCAGTATAGTCAAAACACTTCAATTACAACATCCCTACATATAGCTTAACAAGAAGAGTAACCAACCAAAAGACATGCTTTTGCATCGAGTGCTTATTTTTTTTCTTAAACAGCAACTCGTCCAGATGTCCATTTCACCTGCCATATTAACTGTCTGTAGCCTTCAACTTTCGCGGTCTTTTAGACTGAGCTGGTGAGGATGGAGCTTCTCTTCCAGGTCCCTTTAAACCAAACAATATACCGTTATAAATAGCAGAACAGCCAAAAGAATTACATAGGTAAATAACAAGTGAGCATGCTGCATACCTTGCGTTTCTGGTCCCTTTTGCCAACCCTTTCTGCTGACATTGCTGGAAAGTAAATGGAGATTAACTCTTAGCACTCATCCTTGAAAGCCCAAGGATTACAACAGAACCAAAAAAAAAAAAACATGAAACTACAACTAAAAATCCAAGCAAAGTATATTACCTCCAAAGCTTACTGAGTCAGGAATGAATGTTCGGTCCTGATCCATGCCACGCTGTAAACGCTGTCAGGTAACACCAAAAGAAACCATATCGAAACATATGATATAGACAGAACGTATGTGCACTAAAAATATTTCATATTTGTCTTTTAAAGGGCTTAGTGACCTTTGGTGTGTCTGGTGTTTCAGTATATGAACTTTCACGATAAGATGAACCTTCCTCCTTATTTTGCAACTGAAAAAGAAATAAACGGAAACTTGTAAAAGATGGTCATGCCCAAGAGTGATAACCTTAAATGGCGTTGCCATGAAATAGTAAGAAAAAGAAGATAACCACTTACAGCTTGTAAGAAAAACTAATTTAGTAAGTCAAAAGGATGATGGACAGAGACTAATTGAACAGATGAATATAAAATAAAACAATACCAATTTCTGAAGATTTAGAAGAGTCAATATCTCTTTTCGCAATTCCAAATGCTCTGCACAAACAGCTTTAGTAGGGACCTTGGGTTTCAAATTCACCTGTTGAAATTGCAACAAGTGTAGTTTACTGTAATAAGTTTACTATGTTCAGAGGCAGTCAAGAAAGGTAACTCTTCTCACTTCCATACCCTTGCTAAGAAAGAAAAATCACTACTCTACACAAAAATAATGGCAAGTAGAACATTATACCACCTCAAGTCATATTTGCCACAAATTAGTTAGCATGTACATTAATCATAGACTTTTAGGCATCAGTAACCCATATGGTTGCTACAATGAAGAATCAATATTGACGTAAATATAGTACATTAAAAAAACCGTGAAGCAAGGGACGTGTATGAAAAAATCATCTGATAGACTGATGTCATACACCCCGGTCCCTGGCCAGATACTAAGGAATTCTCCCACATGATAAATAAAATTACATGATGGAAATGTATGTTTATTCAGTTTAGCTTGCAAGGCATACACTACAAAACATCTGACATTAACAGCAGCACAGAATATCCTATATCAATTTAAAATCAGAAAATTACACAAAGAATTGAAACCATGCCCGATTCCTCGAAGAGTATTCATGAGAGATAATATATTAGCAAGATAATAAACACCGATTCAGAGATATGCCAAGCATGTGTCTTGTAATAAAAAAAATCTAGCATCCATGAATGTATAGAGAATAGTAGGAAACCTTAAGCTCTTGTAAGAATTGTTCAACACGCTTAATAGTTCGCAATCCTGCAGATGAGCTTGCAGCTTGCACCATTTGATCCAGTGCGTAAGTTCTCAAGTACACCCGAAGCTTCAAACAAGATAACTCAGTAAGAAATGTTTTCCTCCAAGATGATCACTTTCAATGTACAAACAATTTGCCTATAACCACCGACATTTTCTAAAGTAGCAATAGTGTGGCTGATTGGTGAAAGGTGTTTGATTAAAAAAGATGGAAAATAAGGAACATGACCGGACAACCATTTACAGTTCAAGCTTATTGGCATAATGTACAATAGATATATAGGAGCAATGCAAAATAAAGAAGACAGGAAAGGGATTTAAAAATACAGAGACTTGCTATACCATGCGAAGGGAAGCTGCTGCAGCAGCAGCATTATCTGCCATTGACATCAAAGGTGCAACACCCGCAGAAACCTGCATATTAGAAGGTGATGCAGTATCAACAGGAGCAGTAGTCTTTTCCACGCCTTCAGGGCTAATACTTGATGTTACAGGCAACTCTGCATCCTGAGCAGCCTGAAAAACAAAAAATAAGGCACATAACAGCAGGAAGCTTAATCGTTGCATAAGATGTTAGAAGACATGAATTCATATGTTCACATAATCCATGTTACAACAGGTTCACATAATTGCTAAAATCCTGAAAACAATACAATGATAGAACAAAGAAGGCGGTGCCAGTGTTGTGGTGTGATTTAGGCGTCAATTAAGGGTTTTATCTCGGTGCCAGTGTTGTGACTCGGACTTAGATTTTTTGTATTTTCTTTCATGCTTCAGTTGCAGTAAGTGGCATGTTAGCCAATCCATCTATCGGTATTGGCCTTTTCATAGCAATCCACTTTGCCTCTCAAAAATGAGGTTAATAGAGATGTGCATGTGTCTAGAGAAAAAGATGGCAAGTAAAGGCAGAGTAGGAATCCAGTATGAAACTTGCCTTTGCAGCCATACGAGACTCAGATATTTTTTTAGCTTCAGAAAGAACCTAAAAGCAAAAAATTAACAAAAACAAAAATCAATTTTCGTATGAATATTAGAGAAAAAAAAAAGAAATCCTTGATTATTTGAAGGGGAAAATTGTAGAACCTCGGCATCTTTACGCTCTTGGTGCTTTGTCTGAGAGAGGACCATAGACAATGCACGCTTGCGCTCAATCTCTTGAGAGATATTATATGGTTCCTACATCAAAAAAGAAATCTTGCACATGATTTAAATTGAAAGGTCTAAAAGCTACATGACAATCTTTTTAAATAAGTTGTAAGAAAATATAGTATAGAAAAATAATGCTACACATGTAAGAGAGAGCATACCTTAACCAGGGGGTGACCCGAAACATCAGCAGGAGATGGAGCCCTCGCAATCAATATTGCACGAGAAACTGCAGATTGCATGGATACAACAAGGAAAACAAACAAAATTCTATTAATGATAATTTATCCATTCGTGGGTTCTAATAATGGAACTGATATCAGATATTTGAAGACAAGAGAATTAAATTACCACTATAGAAGCGATTCTTCAGTTCCTCCACTGATCGAGATGATGAAAATCTATCAGCAATTACAACAAAGCGAAGATCAAATCGTTCACACAGATCAAATAGTTGATCCGTCTCTTCTTTGGTCCATGCCTGGCATAGACAATATAAGATTGCTAAAAAAGAAATCAAGACGACATCATAAAAAATGGAAACACCAAGAAGGCTATAATCCATAAAAGCATGAAGCTGTAAATTCCAGCAGGGATAAATTAGGAATATTCATTGTCAGAAAGAAGAGAAGATGTAATCATTGAAAAAGGGTGAAGAGGCAACATCTCCACATACCCTTTCTCTCACCCAAATGGCCAAGATATAAGATATAAGTAACACCAAGATTGAAAGAGGGTTGCAATACACGGTGAAACACAGAGCATTAACCATCTGTCCCTGCTGAAAAGTAAATCAAAGAAATTTTATTTGGTCCCCACCAATACAGACCCTCAAATGCATCGGTGAAGAGAGCGGTGCTTGTAACCTGAGGGGAGAGTAGTCAAAACTAACAATTGGAGGTTAAGGTTTTGGGGAGAACACAAATGGGATTAACTGCTTGGGATATAGCAAGCCTATGTTATAAACGAGAGCAAGTAAGAACAAAATTTATCAAAAAAATGCATGGTTTAAGTTGCAGATTCATTGAACTTTTAGAAAGAGTGTGATCAGTGTGGCAAAGGATTAATTTTTACCAACTAAAAGTATGGTTTCCTATGTATGTATAAAGCAAAATAACACGTATACATTTCTTGCCTTGAAAGGATGCAAGTCTCTAAACAGAGAAAAAACAAAATGAAGTTGTTCATGCTGTTTTTCAAAGTAGGATGATGAAATTTTTTGAGAGTAGGAGCAAATCGTTTAACATCACTCAAATAGTGAAGGCTATAAACATCAATGTCATTGTAGTGGCCTATATCTATCCTGAATATCTAGTGACAATGGAAAAAGCTTTTCATTGAACAATTTCCATTTCAGATGCAGTCAAAAGGAAAACGTGAAAGCGCAATGATGACTGTCTATTCTTCTACGTGTAATGAGAAGCGTTCTTGACTTCTAATCTCCTCCACCTATAGCTTAACCATGTATAGTCTCTCCACCTTTCTGTCTCTCCTCTGGTGTCCTCACCATCCTCTCTCCTCTTGTCTCTATTGGCCTCTAATCTTCTCCACCCCTCTCTCCCTCTCAAAGGCCGGCCCCTTATACATAATTGGTGATTTCTCTCTCAACTGTGTCGCCTTAACGAACCCAAAGTTGCATAAATCATAGGAACAGCTTTAGCCAAACCATGAACACAGCAGTAACATCATTGCCAGAAGTGGAGAAACGGTACAATATCACCCTGGCCAATCTACTATACATTTGGTTCACATTAACTAGCTTGGGATTGGAAATACTTCTGTAGTTGTTGCATGTTGGGTAGTCATGCTGAGAAGACAGGAATGATCACCACAACCATATAACCTACCTTTTTAAACTAAAGCACCAAGACAAAGAACTGAGAGAAAAAGACATGAAACATCATATATCAAACTGAAAACCTGTAGCGATTGTTTTACCGGATAAAAACTATAAAACCCACAGTTCACACTTCTCATTTCAGCGGCAAATAAATACCTAAGACAAACTATTTCATCAAGATTCTCCTAGGCATCCACATAGAATACCACAAATTCAACTATAAATCATATTTCAAACAAAATTAAACATGGTAAAAGGTGATACTCACTTATGACATATATAAATATATGTCAATACTAGTAATAAAGTACAATTAGTTTTTCCAGCTCCTTATTGGTCACAAGATGCCAAGAACAAAAATATAAAATGATCTATAAACAGTATCTGACAAGATAATTTTATACTCACTGGATCCGTAAGATGCTTCTCATACTCCTCATCTGTGTACTTGACCACATCAACAGACTGAATTTCATGTAAAAGCAACATGTCAATAAATGAAAGGTAAGGAGACGGATATTAAAGCTAATGTACAGTGAGGAGCAATCATCAAAACATATATCTTAATTCTGCAATCCATGCAACATACTTCTGTTATGGTATCTCCACAATTACAACCACCAGTAACAACAATATTGTTGATAATCACAAGAATGAGAAAAAGAAAGGCTCTCATGCATACAAAAAATAAACTATTACAACACAGATTGCTGAATTCTATGGCTGAACTTGAACGATTATCTTGCAAACCAAACTGTTAGGAAAGGGAGAAATAATCATCCATTGGCATGTACCTTGTTGTACTTTGCAAAGGAATAATCTCCTGTTGGTGGAGTTCCATTTACAACTCTGACCTAAAAAAAGTTTAAATAAGACATTTTACGAATATCTCCAACTAATAATCCAGATTTTAGATTATGAAAAGGTTCAAAAAAATATACCCAATGGTAAAGCTGCAAGTTATCTTTCCGGGCAGAGTTTGTGAAAGCAAGCCATTCCCATGTTATCTGAAGAAAAAGTCTCAAAATTGTCAACAAGTAAAACATGCGAACCCACATGTAACAGTTCCGATAAATACTACAAGGTAAACCCGGAGAAGTACAAAAAACAAAGCCATGGTAAACGGATGTCGATTGCAAGAAAAGATGCATATACTAGAACAGCCTAGTTTGGTTCTAAGAAGCATCAAAACAAGGTCCAACAAACTTACAGCCATAGCAGCAGAATGTAGTTAAACAAGTTGGGAGAAAAATTAGAAAGAAAGAAAAAGGTGATAAGCCAACCTTCTCATTCTCAGGTTGATGACGCTTTTTCAACTGATTGACATCAACGGAAGGCATAAGAGGCGGCACGCCACCTGTAAGGGCATAAACCTGACACCAAAAATGCTTTAAAAAAATCTCAAGAAACAAAAGAGATTATGTTGGTGGCAGAGTGCAAACCTCACGCGAAATGCCATCGGGTTTCCTCTGAGAATCTTTCTGGGGTCTGGATTTCTTTTCCTGGGGTATAGGCAATGAAATCTTTGGTAGTCCTAAAATGTCCTTGGCATCCATTATGAAAGCTAGGGTTTTAACGTCAGCTACACAGACGGATCCTCTGAAAGGGGAAGAGATGGAACTGAAATCGGAATCAAAGGATTAGGGTTGGAAGAGATTTGACGGGAGGGGAGGGAGCTTCCAAAACAAATTGTTTGATATGTTACATGAATATGAATTAATTTTGGATTTTGTAAAATATTTGGTTTTTGAAATGGAATTATATTATTTCTACAGTGAAAATTATTAAAGTATTTATAATCATTTGGTTTTTTTATTGTCACTTCAACAAATATAAAAACCTCATTTTTCAGTTTCTTTTTTAATTTATAAATTTAATATGTATATATATCATAACACTTCGGATCATAT